GACCGTATGAATCATTTGTGTACACATAATTCCGGCTTCAGCTGGTGATTGTAGATAGCGTCGAAGATAGATAAGAGCTGTTTTCGGAATCCTTGGGAGAAGTGTTCAGGTAGTGAGTAGATGACTCTGAAGTCATTCTCTAAAGCTGTATGGCCACATTCAAGGAGGTGCGACATGATTGACTTGTCTGAAGACCTCATTTCGCCTTTGTAAAACTATGCCGGGATATGTTCACGAATCCTCTGTGATAGACGCCTCGTCGTGCGACCCACGTATCGTGCACCACAGGTGCACAAGTACTGATAAACGATCATTGAACGGGTAACCGACGGCAGTCTATTCTTCAAGGGTTTTGTAAGCAACGGCTTGTTGTGAAAAACGATTCTCAGGCGGGCCGCGAAATAAGTTTTCTTGACAGCATCTTTCAGGCGTCGGGATAACATATCAGCTGCAGAATCACCATTAAAAGGGTATATGTATGAATAGCTCTTTCTTAGGAGCAATGCTCCTAGGTGGCTTTCGATTGTGTTCCTTCAAATGCTTCAGTGCTTAATTATACTGTTAAAACGGCGAATAGCGGCCAAGGTAGTCAGAACTGGAAAGTCTCTGATGGTGCGAACTGCATCGTCTAGAGGCCGTATACCATGCTGATCGACATGGTGTCCGAGAAATTCGATGGAAGGTTGCTGAAATACGCATTTGTCTGCGTTGACGGTAATGTTTGTTAACGGCTAACCTACCGAAAAGTATTTTCAGATGTTCCGCATGTTGTTCTTCCGAAGCGCTGGTCACTGAAATATCCTCGATATAAGGGTAGACAAAATCGAGACCTCTAGTGACAGAGTTGATGAATCGTTGAACTCTGGGCTGCATTGCGATGATCGAAGGTCATACGCAAAAATTCAAAGAGCCCAAACAGCATGATTACGGCAGTCTTCGGTATATCTTCCTCAGCGACTGGGATCGGGTGATGAGCGCGAACCAGATCGATTTTCGGGAACACACAGATGTCCCGCAGGCTAGCTGTGATGTCCTGAATGTGAGGAATAGAATAGCGGTCGAGAACAGTTATTTCGCGCCCGATAATCACCACATAGACCTCAGTCTCCTGACTTTTTGGGCACCATGTAGAGCGAAGACACCCAGGGGCTTTTAGGTGGGCGAACGATGTCTAGCTCCCGCATATGCTCGAATTCTGAGCGGGCGATCTTCAGCTTGTCAGGGGTCATTCTTCTGACTTTAGGGAATACTAGCGGACCTTTGGTAACGATGTGATGCTTTGCAGCCTCAGTGGCGTAGGCAACTTTGCCATTGCACGGAAGACTTGTAGGAATTTGCTATTAAACCTCTGGCCGATAGGTGAGGTCGATTGGTTGGCATACACAGGACTGATTTATTCAATGTCGATCAAAGTGGCTATAACTGCTAGGTTCGTATGACGATCAATCAGACGAAAGTGCTTCGCGTCTACAAGCAAGTCGAAGTGCTACAGAAAACCCAAGTCAAAGACTAGTGTCTGAACCTCTGCGACGTGGAAAATCCATTTAAATGTGTGTTCTTGACTTATACTAGGCGTGCGCGAGTGTTGACCGTACACAGAAATGATCGTTCTGTTGGCTGCGCGAAGTGAACTAATCGCCTTCTCATTCGGGTCCCTTTTTATTGCGAGGAATAACGCTAACTTCGGTACCAGTGTCCACTAAGTAGCGAACTTCCGTTTCTCCATCGTTAATGAAGAATAGGCGGCTGTGGCGACCAGAAGCATCCGTCGCTCCTACGTACTCGTCGGCCCGTTTACCTGTGACTTGCGCGAGAAGGAGCAGGGTGGGCGACTGGGTTTGGCATTCTCACCAAGTCCTCCATGGTAACGGCAATGCGTAGGTGTCTTAGACGAGGATCGCGAAATAGGCTTGGAACCTGACGAGCGGAGTGGAATCTTAGAGCGCTTCGTTCCTGTATTCTCTAAAGCTACTATTTCGTCGATTCGTTTGATTAACGTGGCAACCATTGATGCTAATTTCGCGACGTTGTCTTGCTGCATTGATTAGGTATGCACGATTCGGTCGTTGGCTTCCCAGCTACGGTCAGCTATGTTGGCTAGCTGAGGTGGAGACATGTTTGCATTAGAGTAAAGGATGCTACACATCGTGCGTGGGAGGCGGCTAATCCATGTCTCTTTGAGAAATGAATCATCAAGTTTGACTGGTTTGGCTAGTCTCTGCATCTTACGGAGGAGTTGAGATGGTTTCAAATCACCTAGTTCGGTTTCGCTAAGCAACTTCGTGACGCCTTGACAGTCGGAAACATCAATTCTTTTGAAAACGGCAGCTTTGGTCGCCGCGTAAGTCTTCTTTGATTCTGGTAGATCTATAGTGTCATCGAGATCATCGCCGACTGGCGGAGAAAGCGCTGCGACGACGTATTAATTTGACGTTCTCAGATCTGACGTGACGCAGCGAAAAGATGGACTCTAGTTGAGCGAACCGGCTGTTCGGGTTACCTTCACGGAAAGGCGGTATTGGTAAGGTAACACCACTAACTGCCGCCTCAGCGTCTGAAAGTTTAACGTCCATAGCGAAAAGGTTGCAGTTAGCAAATATGAGCCAGTTAGTAAAAATATAGGGAAAATGAAGCAAACGAACAGGGTATACAACCAAATCTGAGAAAAGGTTAGTGATGGGCTTACCGCAAGTATTTGTAGGCGGGATCACCAGTTATAACGGATTCGATAGACGGACGCTATATGCGCACAACCAACCAACGGAGAGTGTAACGATAAGTAAAAATAGAGCTAGGTATACGTTTATTGCCGAAACCTACAGGCTCCCTAAGCTACAAAGAGCACCCAACGAAGCTAAGGAGATCAAAGAAGGGACGTTCCGGTAGCGCAGGAGGTTGATTCCGGCTGCCGAATTCTGGTACTGTGTCGATATAAACAAAAGTGGACCCACTGCTTAATTTCCCTGTGTATAGACGAAACTATATTTTAGTAATATTTTATACATAATACAGGGGAATCTCCGGGTTGCTACACTTTCTCCACGTAATATCTTAGTATTTGCCTCGAGAACAATCTATGGTAGAGTCCGTGATATTTTGAGCAAACACGAAAATGAGCCATTCCTTCGGATCTCCTGCTGTCACCCAATAGACGTTCGACGACCGCGTGGTTCTGACGCGAAATAAGTTTTCGAATTATGGTACGCTAAATGCGCTTTTTTCTGGAACCTCCATGTCGAACACACTTGAAATCGAGGATCATGAGCGTACTCTATGTGCGGCACCTGTGCTACCACTTTGGCGCTTGACAGTGTGTGACAAAGCGATCTACGCAGTCATGTATGGGTTAATAATCTGTTTACTCTAAGCATGCGGAATTCCTTGTTTGCAATAATGGAGCTGGCTGGTATATGAGTCAGCAACCATCTTACATTGGAAGCGCTATTATTGACCCCCTCACACACTGAAATGAATTTGTTCACTTATTCATTCTGATGTATGACTCTGTCTCTTGCAAGGAGATTCACTACCGTCCTTAAGGAACGCAAACACAGCAATCCCAACAGGTAGCCAAACGCTTTACCCGCGGTTACATGTTCTCAGTTTGTTTGGTCCTAAAATTCCCGCCACGTACTTAGATTTGCATCACGCGTTCTTAATTCTCGCAGCGATTCACTGCGAACTAACCGGTCATTACTACCACTAAAATTGTCTACCAATTAGAGAGCTTTCTTTGAACAACCGAGACACCACTACCGGTTTCGTCCTTGACTAGTCCCTTCAGGTAGCGGTAACCGGAGTTAGCACTGGGATCCGGAACGTAGCAGTTGATGATGGACGGTTTGGTTAATTTCACAGCCACAACAGTCACAGTTCAATCCGTACTACCCGCGTTTGAAGCGTTTTAGAGACGGACCTTCAACTAAATCGTATCTGTACGTTTTGCACTCAATGAGCTATATTTCACCTATACGCTGTGCGAAAACTACCTTTTCTGGATACCTTATTCCGAACTACCCTTGTTACTTTCTGTGAGTCAAATAAACAATTCTTATTGAACCTTTTGTTCAACATCCTCAACCTACATCGATCTATGGATTCGGGGCATATTGACTACAGGGTTTTCTGCCATACAGAAGACAACACCTAAGCAGTCTCTTCTGTTATCATCCCACTGTTATAAATAAGGTATTCTTGTAGCAAATTTGGTACTTGAGCACTGGCTATCTACTGCTCACGATGTATATCAATCACCCATCTAACTAACTGATCAATTCGTCAACTCGTGAATTATACCCACACTTAGATAAGAACTTCAGTTAGCGAAGACATCTCCTTTCAGTAATTCTCATCACGAAACAGTGTTACTGAAAGCTGATTTGAAGGCTGCTGCTTCTGTTTGAACGAGATAAGTAAATTGGATTGATACCTAGGTCAATTCACTGGGAGCAGACAACCGACGTTACGCTGCCAGTGTCGCAAGGCCAAGGCAAGTGGGGTGCTCGTACGAGAGCCTTCCTCTTGCACAATCTAGGCTGGATCAGCCTGATAGCGAATGCCTTAGCCATTCTCAGTGCTTTGCGATAATATAGTGGCACGGAGTAGAAAACCTTGAACGTATCTGCTTTCCGAGTTTCATGATCGCTTAGGAACAAATGCTCAGTGCTAGCACTGTTGATCAGTTTTCTTCTTGACCAAATACTATTGAGTAGGACCTTAGCGCCGCCCTCATTGTTTCACCTCCACAATTCGCATCTTCATAGATTATCTCTATCTTCCGTTTACCTCCTCTTTCTAACCCAGCCAACAATGTCACTTTTCATGTAACTTCTTGCAATCCCCTCCTTTTTTCCAATTCTGAATACATTGTCAGTGACAGCGTATGCCAAATGCAACATAACTTACCTATGGCTGATTATTGGATAATTTGCCCATTGGGGCCACACGCACAAGTATCATCCGCATACCTTGCTGTTTATTTTACCTTGCTTATTCCACAGACTCTGGTGATTTAAATCAAAAGTCTTTAGGAAACGCAGAACTGTCTCCTAGAGCCAATCACGGAAGGAGTGCATGTGGCCCAATAATGGAGTCCCCACTATTAAAGGATGCGGAAAACAGTGCGCACTTTGTAGATGAGTTGGAGGAAGTATCCGTAGGGAGTATGTTGATGAGCAATTTCACCGATAACTGGGCCGACGTCGCAAGTCACGCTTCAAACACCGTCGCCGAATTGTGGAGTAAGCGATTGCTCGTATTTCACATAATCATTGCATTTCTCTTTTCCATGGGATCCTGTTCCTATTATGTGCTATTTTCGTGTAAAATCTGGTGTGCGCTAACTCACGTCTTTGGACATTCTTCATGCCTGTAAAGTTACTACAAACAGCGAAAAGGCAGCAGTACACTAGCGCCTTTCGCTTATGCTTTGCTGACATAGAACTGTAGTGGTCATATTAATGAATGTTAAAAGAGCAAACAAGTATTTTGTTTACACTGTCAGCGCCCTAACAGCACATTCATCTCGCTAATAGTGCACAGTCGTAAGTCGTTAGAAAACAGTATATTTTCGGTTTGACAGCTTCCCTTTGTCTTCACTATCTCACATCTGAGTCAACGTTTCTAAACAGCTACGTCATCGTACGGCAATTGAAACGCTGCCATATCTTGTAAGTTTCTTTTCAGGCACGGAGGTGCGTCAGCGTCAATTTTGAAGACCTAGCGGTCCAGTATCATCCGAGCTAATGGTCAGCGTCTTCATTTCTCGCTTTCAGGTGAACGGTTACCTCACTTCACGCCTTGCTTCATCCGAATTAAGTGATGTTTGGGCATTCATAACATGTACACAGGCCACCTCAGCTTAATCAGTCTGGTTTGCTGATCTTACTGATGTAGCAACTACTGCCTAGTGCTCACTTCAAGTCAAGTCAACAATGCGCTTGATGCACACATGAAGAGTAAATATTCAGCCACAGCACACATGTCGAAGACAGATAAAATCAAAGTATAACAAATGGCATTGGTGCCAGCTATTTTAAATCGTTACGCAGGGGATGTTATCAATTCAGTTTGGCAATAAGTTCTTGCTTGACAACATGTTGATCCTTCAGAAAACGTGACAAATAGCGAGTAACTGACGTACCGTAAGCCTGTGTGCCTGCATAAACGGCTCTGTACGTTTCTTTGGTCGAAGTCGTGATACCTTCCGATGATGCACTATGGCATCAGTGAGTATTTTTGACGCCACTTTTTCGCAGGTGTGAATGTGATTAAGCACAATGATATTAGTAGACTCCAATGTTAAAATACCCCTACATGGGGCAAGATACTTCTGTGATCTGTTGATCACTTCAAATTGGCCGTTTAAAAGTCTAGGAGATATCACAGGTGAGCAATACTTTCATTGAGGTAATACGCAAGCGGTGATAAACCGTAACATCAACTAACGAGGCACGCTTGAAGACCTTAATCGGGAGGCATAGAACGTTAGCCTCCTGACTTTAGTCAATGTTTCGTTCACGTGATAGGACCACGTTAGTTCACGACAGTGTAACTCCTAGATATTTCACAGACGTTCAAGAGTTCTGACTTACATTGTCAATAAAAAGATACAGGGTATGCGGGAATATTTGCTGATAACGAGTTTCTGCACCTAGTCACTTGGTGCCAGCATTGCTCTAATTGCTACGACCATCGAGAACTTCATCGCATTTTATGCTTAAAGTTTTGGGTTCCACCGTTGTAAGGAGGAGTTCCCTTTGTGTTGCTTTATGCAGTACTTTCTAAACTAAAGGAACTCCTTTTTCACTCGGAGTGTATCTCAGATTCGTGAATGCAGTTCCGGCTTTGTATTCCATTAGACAGTTTCAGCAATCACATATCCATCACCGCTACTGTAACTTCCCACACATCTGAGTTGCTCACATATCTTCAGTTTCTGGATGTCAATATTCATAGGGTCACCCAGTACCCTTGCAAAAACATCGCACTTTACAGATGCAAAGCGCACATGAAAACCTGAAGCTTTTGTGGAGCGTTTATGTAGGACTAAATTTAGCACCTCACTGTTGCCAAACAGCGAGATGTCAACCGCGTAATCCATACCAGCCAGTTTTTCTCACCCCCACCTTGAGGTCCCAAAAGGGGACTCGTCGCTATTTTAGCATACATTTGTGGAAATGGGGTAACCCTAAAGAACGCCACTTTCGGACCGTCACGTTCCCGACAATTCACAGTTAACCACGACACTCAGAGGTGTACAGAACACGTAAAATGTATCTCTTGGCAGCACTTTTCCCGTCAAATTTGCTAACATATTGAGGAAATCGACTAGGTTGAATGCGTTAAGAAAATGGAATAACGTAACATGGAATAACATAACATAATAATAATAATAACAATAACATTTATGAACAGCTAGCCTACCTGTAATGCTAGTCTGCCGTCTGTTGCCGAATGAAAATTCTTACACGGTGTATTTCCTATATGAGATCTAAGTCCTTCTATTACACGTGATTCCTGTTCCAGGTAAGTCTACAAATTAGTAACGGAGGACGATATCGCTGTCACTATCTGCGTCAACTGATAACCATCTGATTTGCACAGCCGTTGCGACCACTATCCCTGAATATTACTATTATCTTCCATCAATCACAGCCAGGTAGCACGGCCTATTTTCTTTCACATAAGGTGACCAGGGTTTTGGTGGTTAGGTGTTGCTCCTCCCAACCCTGACACCCCATAACCGGTTTCGTCCTTCTTTGGACTCATCAGATGGAGATAGCCTGAGCTGCGGTGGACCTCGTGGCGTAGTGTTCAGGGTTTTGTTAAGACTCTCTCTGTCGTTCCTCATAGGTGAGTAAACAAGGGAATTCAATCAACAGCACTGATACCGTTGAGATTTGTGACAGTTTATGGTACTTCGCTTAAGGTCGTCTTTCATCCTTCACTGCGAGCACGAAACGATTCAGATTTAGAAGATACTTGAACAGTCTCACGTGTCCATACAACGTTTTTAATCTTGAATTGGAGCTCAAATACCATCAAGCGTTACTGTTCTGGAAGCATTACTTCTCGGAACCTGTAACATAGTTAAGTTGGAAGAAACTACAAATGTTACCGGTCACTCCATTCTCCATTTCCTGTACCTTTCAAGTTCATTGTTTTATTGCCTATTCACAGGCTTCGTTGTAGCTTACTGTTGACAGCCCATTTGATCACACTTTCCTCATTACTGATAGGGACTCTTGTGGATTCCAGCAGGTGCATCCCTTTTGATCATCCCATGTCCATTGCATTGACGATGTGTATCGCCGCAAACAGAAGCTCTCTCGCCACCCATGGTAGTGGAGTTCTTGTTCCACTAATTCCGATGTCATGGATCAATTAGGTGGTAGCTTATTGCATATCATTTTTATAGGCCTCCGATGAGTACAGCAAAATCTGTAGCTGACCGTGGTATGATTAGAATCTGCACGTTTATCAAACGCATTGCTTGTCAGTGATAGAACTTGTGGCATCGTAGTCTATTTGGATCCAACACTAGTTAGCTTTGGCATTTCTCTTAATGACATATGGCGTCCAATGTGTCTCGGGTTTGTGCTACCTAGAAACAGCCGATGATCGACATGCAGTTACCATCCTTGTATCCCGAATTTAACCCGACCATCCGATCTGACTGACTTCCTGAATAACCCATATCATCTATCTGTGCATTCCTTATTCCATGCAACTATAACTGCATCTGAGCTGGTATCACTAATATGCGACTTGTTAGTTTCCTGGTAAAAGGCTTTGGCAGTGTCAAGATTGTAACATCTAGAAATACATACGGAAACAGCGTCAAATCAGCATCCAGTGTTCGCCTGTGTGATAACCTTTGTTCATATTTTCAATCATGTTGCATACAGACTGCTGTTTACGGGTATCTTGTCAACTCGTACGACATATATTCACTGCATCGGCGTTTCTGGCCGCGTGCGACTGTCAGAAGGGACAGACTGGATGCACCATACGTCTACTCCTGAGTTATCGAGTCTGCGTTCAAACACACATTAGTTGGTCCCCTTGCTTTCGCTTCCGGTCGACTTCTACGCGCGCTTTGTGGCCATGGAGAGGCAACCATATACATTATGCAGCTCAGCGGTCGGCAGTCAGTTTGACTTGAAAATCCTTAGACGAACGTCATTACTGATGTGATATCGCCATCGTGCACCAGCAATGCTCTGCAAGCAACAGTGATCAAAAACAGACATCCTCCGAAAATTTTTTGTTTGAATAGGATGAGTATTGCAACCGTAGATCAGTACCGCTCTCATCACAGTATTAAGGACCCGGTCTTTCAGAGCTTGGTTCTGGTTGCGAAGACGCCAGATCAACAAAAGCAATGTGAGTTCTAGAGACGCGCAGAGACCTCGCCCGGTAAACCGTTGACACCGATGCAGTTTCCGAGGTAGACGAACTTGTCTACCACATCCAAAAGAGAACATAGAAGCGTACGAGTCAAAGCAGCTCCTAGCCAGTCTTGCAAGATGATTTCTCACCTCACTGGGGCGTGTCATTCTGAATTGGGAGACAAGCACCAAACTACGTAATATCTCTTGGACAGATTGTGAGGAATTGCAAATTACGGCGATGCCACTGCACACTCTTAATCTGTCCGCGAAAGAAACAAAACACTTCTGGGTTCAAACTTGTCAAGAGCGCTCTCTGTGGTGGTTTATAGCGAAATTTAACAAAAGTGACGCAAAGTAACCCTGTCTCGCGTCACTAGAGATACACAAAGGGAGCGAAATTCCGCCGTACACTTCCGCTCGGTCCGAGGTTCGAGAGTAAATGTCTCAAAAAATATTTGCATAGTTTTCGGGCACCCTTTCCAAACAGTCAATTCCAGGTAGCAGCTCTGTCAGTTGAGTCATACGCAGCTGGTATTTTTGAGAAGGCAACAATCGTTGGTCGACCGAACGATGTTCATGTATCTGGCGGATCGCAAAGATTTGATAGATACAGCTCCGGCCAGAGCGGAACCCAGGTTGTCCTTCGCATATGTTCTGTTCGCGCACCAATATGAGCCTCCTTAAAAGCAGGGCGGTGAGCACTTTGAACATAACGCAAGTTAATTTAATCCCCTGATGATTTGCGCCATTTGTCCGGTCACTCATTTTGAGGACGGGAACGATATCCCATAAGCCTAAATCACATGCAATCGCTTCAATGATCCAAATCTCTTGGATGAAGGAACTTAGTTACCATACAAGAGATGGGCTTCCATCTTTGGAAAGAGTTAGAATGAGTTTGTCTGGACCATTTGGGTTGTAACGCTTCATGAGACGAAGCTCATGAGGAACCTCAGTGTTAACTATGTCCCGTAGCTGATAGACGGAACAGAACGCGCAGGCGTAGTATGAAACCGGTTAATGAAGGCTTCCTACGTTACGGTGGCTAGAAATGCCGAAACGAAAAGCCAGTGAAATAAGCTAAGGCAAGGTCTTTGCTAATAACTCATTTAAGCGCCTGTGTTCACAATCAATAAACAACTGCATACATGACACTCAGCCTCTGCTGGGGTTCCCACTGGATTCCCGATTGAGAACAACGGTGCTGGAAGCCGGTTAAACTGCTACTCCAATTGCTCCGTCCATTGCACACATCGGCGTCGTTGACAGTAGATTGCCTCGCCATTGGTTTCGCACAAAACTCCTCTTGCTGTCATATTTTTGTTGCCGGTGTATCGAATCTGGAGAAAAAGCTTACGGAATTTCCCCACGTAGGGCGCTTACTGCATCTCGGTGACTTGCGTCCACCAGGCCTCGCGATCTTCCCGGATGAGCTCCTTGATCTAGGTGTTGGTAGTCCTGCGCAGTGAACGATATTCAGTGCTAGCAGGAATTGCTCGACGGACTTTGGGAAGCTGGAGAGATCATGCAGAGATCTAGTGGTTGGCTGCTTTCTCATACTGGCCTCCGGCACCTCGGCCTAAGATAGTCCAGAGAGCGTCATTTCATGTGTAAGCACCACGATATTTGTTCGGCGCCTTTTTCAAAGAAGAAGATGTGATCAATTTACTTCCGTGGTCTCCAGGTGGTTCGTTGGCGTTAGGAACGCCAAAAGTCGGTACTTGGGAGAACTAAGCCATAATCGGCACAGAGCTGAAGTAGGTGATTATCTTTCTCCGTCCTGTGCATGCTATGGTCATTTTGACCACCCGGTTCACTTTTATCAACTTCAACTCTACGAACCGCCGCGTTTAATTCCCCGGTAAGCATCACGATATCCGTTCAGGGCTTTTTTTAAAGAAGGTTGAAAAGTTGATAGTAGAACTCACCTTTAACTACGTCCGAGCTACATTCTGGGGGTGCATATATCGCTACAACTAAAAACAAGGTCGGTTGGACTATCGTACCTAGGTTTCTAGTGGAACCGTGCAGAGCCGGCTGTTAACAGTGATCCAGTCGCCTTGCTCAGCGTGTGCACTTGTTTTCATCGCAATCTTCACACCGACGTGACCAGCAGCTTTGTCAGTTTGGTCTCCAGTTAGGCTCAACGCGAAAATACTAGCGGAACTCGCAGACGGTGAAACCAGCCGTGGTGCCATGTTAGGTGCTGTAAGTGGGTCTCAGTGAAGTAACGAATATCTGTGATCCGCTCTTCATCATCGTCCGAACATTAGACGTTTCCAGCTTGAACTGGGAACAGCGCGCTAGGAAGAGCATCATCATCATCATCATACACGTTAGCTAGAGGTGGGGAACACCTCAGCTACTGTGCCGCAATACAACGAAAAAAAGAGAGAAAAAACAACAACTGGTGAAAGCTGGCTGAGCTACCGGTAACGGATGGGCATCGTTCCGGTAAGCTACCAGCCGGCTGCTGTGCACCCAAAAAATTATGCAAAATTATATAAGGCTAAGTAATGAGATCGTGGTTGGAGGGGGAGGCTAAGAGTTATGGGGTGGGACAAAGAAACTCACAGCACGAACGCCACTGAGGTCGGCTCCTAGCCATATCAGCAAGTGTGTCCAACCAAACGTGTTCATCGTCTTTCGGACCCCAACCAGGGAGCCGAGACGCTCCAACCAAGGCCAGCTCAGAAGTGAGGGTCTTCATTCCTCTGGACCAAGTCATCGCTTGGCCACCCCTCCTCTTCTTCCATTCACACCCACGGCGCGCAAACAACACACGTCGCGGAAGTCGGTGGGCTGGCATGCGTAACACGTGGCCGAGCCATCGGAGCCTGGTGCGTGAAATAACGGTGCTGAGCGGTTCATTTCCTTTTCCTGTGCCAAAAACAAGGCGTCGAAAACGGTCGTTGCTCACGCGGTGTTCCCACCAGATGTGAGCCAAACTGTGAAGGCACCGGTGGTCGAACGTAACTAGCCTCTTCAGGTCCGCTGCTTTAAGCGGCCAGGTTTCACCACCGTACAATAGGGTCGAACGTACCGCTGCATTGTACACTCTACCCTTCAGGGCAAGAGTGATGTCGCGCCGGCGCCATAAGTGGTGAAGATTAGCAAAAGCGCCCTGAGCTTTTGCTATACGATTCATGATGTCATCTTCAGTCGGCTGGGATCGGTAGCGGGTATCGATTTGACTCTAGTGCTGCGTTGAGACCGGTGGAGAAATCGGCACAGATGCGGAGGGATCCACTCGGCTTCTTGACCACGACGATCGGTACTGTCCTGGCGGAATAGCACACAGGCACTAGGACGCCTATGTCTTCCAAACGGTATGGTTCGGCTGTGTTTGGGACAGGTCTTTTGGGACAGAATACCGGTTGAGCACCAGGTACGAGCTGTAGCTCGACGCAGGTGCGTGTACAGCGGTCAAGACCATACTAAAATACCGAGACGAACTGTCTGATGATGCCATCGGTTTGGTCGTTTGGTACTGCCGGAGAATGTACCGCGTTGCAGTTGGTTCGAAGAGGAAGATCGGCCAAGCCAAGGGTTTCGAGACAGTCGCGACCAAGCAGGTTGGGCTTCGCTTTCCTGATGTAGCAGATCGCGTTGAACGTGGCGCCTCGGAAGGAGACTGAGCAGTGCAGCTGCCCAATTAACTGCACACGACTACTACAGGCGCTGGTGGCAGATTGGGAAGTCGATTCGAACGGTGGCTTGCCAAGGTATCGCCAGAGATCCTCGGATATGATCATGATGTCCGACGCAGTGTCCAACTGCTTCAGGTTAAGCAGCGTTTGACACTCCCCGACCAGATTCTTCAGTGTGTCTGAGCCATCCTGTTTTAGCTTGGACAGAGGGCGCGTCCGGATATCGGCATATTGTAAAGACTGGAGGCCAGAGACAAAAATCAGTCATTTGAATTGGTCCTCGGTGAGTGATCCAAGTTTAAAACGTTGATATTCACGGTTGGCCAAGCCTGCTATCACGCTTGATTAGCTGCAGACATTGATAACGAGCATGGAACAGAGAGGACTGCTCGCCGAAAATCTGGGACAGCGTTCGGACCATCTCCTCAAAGGTAAGGTTGCGTGGGTTCCTCGGTAAGATGAATTTGTTGTAACGTTGGTGTTCGAGCGTACTAACTTTGCGCAGAAGCAGCCGGACTTTTCACGCATTATCCTGGCAAGCCAAGTCAACAATGAGCTGGTCCTCGTACCGCTTATACCAATATTCGAAGGTTACCCCGACGTTGGTGTCGTACAGAAATTCGCTGCTGCCACTAAGCACATGGTCCACTGACTGAGAATTAGCACTTGGACCTGCATGAAGGGAAGAACTGGAGAGTTTGTCGCTTAGCACGGACATCAGTTTAAGTTGTTGCTGCAGCCCAAGTTTTAAGTCGGCGTATTGTCCGTCATGGTTCATAAACTCTCCACTGGGAGACGCCTCTGATAAGGATTTGAGCTTGATACGATTGTCACTGGCACGGTTTGAGCACGCCTACGATAACGGCTTGGAACGCTGGCCGATCCAACAGATGTGCGCTGACGCGATGGCGTTAGCTTAGCGTGGGGCATACGCTGGGGAGGCGGAAAATCGCGCTAGAGTGAGAACGTTTCTATCCACACGTATTCGGGTAGACGCTGAACCCTCGTAACGGACGAGGCTACGCACACGCGAGGGGGTGACGGTAGACGCGCACCCTGCCCGGCTATCGAGGCACACAAAAATCACTTGACCGAAACGACTCCCAACTAACGGCGAAGAGAAAGCAAGACAAGTGGTCCTCTTATGGCTATTTTACGACCAACAAAGGGCGTATCACAGCCCATACTATGGGTCATTGAGTTAGTGAAAATAGCTACCGCGACAGGGTGATAGTTTGTAAAAGAACATTGTCGACATACGCGCAATGGAGTGTCTGCAATCTGCTACCTTGTGGGGGGGGGAGGAATTGAACTCCGCTTTCCACAGCCATTACGCCGGAGTTTGTGGCGCGTTTTTGCGGGGATATTTGACGGGCCCGCAACAACTCTAGAAGATTACTTATGTAGATGGTGTAGTGTAAAACAAATACCGGCTCTAACTCATATCTTGCTTTCCGTTTTCAGCTCTCCCGAAGCCACAGCTTTGTTAAGCGGACCGTGCTTAACCAGCGAGTGTAAAAACTGCAAACTGATCCTGCGTGACATAACCCCTGCAGTACACTTTGTCTACCCCGCTGCCCCTTGTTTTCTATAATACAATTACTATTTTTACCGCCTAATGTAAACCATTGAAGGTGCGCTTAATGAAGTATTCTAGTCATCTTTTAATATAAGTGACGTACAGGTATAGTTTGCTTCCCCACCAATCAACAGACCCTCGTCGTTTACTAGTTCGTAGTAAAGTGGTCACTAACACCAAACTCATTTTGCTCACCTCACTTCTTGCTAACTGCAGGCTCGCAGAAGGATATAGTTCAGCGCTCGGGTCAATTTGCTCTGCGAGTTGTCGGTGACTTAAAGCCGGATTCGCTGCGCACAAGTGAGAAAACCCCACTTGGTGCCCAATCTACAAATGCAGATGAATCGCTGTTCTGGCCAGGGTTCCTTACCAAGTTCTCCTCCAAGCGTGACCGGTTCTTCTCGAGAGGGACAATCTTCAACCGTAGGTCTAGTGACTTGACCGAAGCGTTTACTGTTTCTTCGGATATCACCGATCCTGCTTTGAGGTGAGCATGTTGTATGCACATCATGTGCGATTGTCAACACATTAGCTACGTAGTCTTTGGACGCTACACTAGATCCCAATTTCGACGCCCGGTTTGTTGACACTAGGCCTGCATGTATCTGAGTACCTGATCCTGTTCGGAGACTATCGCATCGAGTCGTCCGCGTCTTTTGTATTGCTGTTACCAGTTGCTGTCTTTCTGTCTAGGTTTCTCATATCCAACCTCTTCTGCGCTCGTCACTCTGTACCGACTAACCAGTAGTTTTATACTTGATGCATCAGGAACATCATTTGTCCTTCGAGCTACTTATGCTCTTCGTTTACCCAGGTGTCTGTAGATCTTTTTATTCACTTACTCCAATGTTTATCCACCTTTCTGTGTTACCTCGTTTACTGTCCCTTTTTTCTGCGTTCTCTGTGTAGCTCGAAAGCCCAATCCTTTCTTCGCGAAGTCGTCATGATGGTGGTCGATGGCAAGCGTCTCAATTCTACCTATACTATCAAACTACAAGAGCTGTTAAAAAACGAGAACTATCGCAGCTACCTTGTCGATAAACTCCGCGCACAACTGAGCATCTCCTTAATCGAACCGGTTGTCACCCTACCGGATATCGTAAGTTACGCAGTTTCATGATGTTTACCTTATATTTGATTACCGGTTGTGATGTTACCAGCACGACTGTGTATTCCTTGACCACATTAATCATCTTTCTACCTGAAGTGCGATATAGACATGTTTTGCTGTTACTTCAGATTGACAACAGTAGTTGGTTACGAGAGAACCGCTTAATTAAAACTAATCACTTATGCTTCATGCTAACTCGTGGCCGATCTCCTGGGAATTTATTGGGTGGTCGTTTTGTCTTTCCGGAACTCGTCAGGAATGCACCTTCCCCAGATATACTGAGGAATCCCAACTGTCATCACTGTTTAGTCCATATCAGTTTCAGGCGACTGACTTGGGGATCATTCATACTGCTAATCGCGTATTAGCGCATTTTGTTTGACTGCTTGTTGCGGAATAATCGTCCCCAGCTTACGTCAAGATTCTTGTCGGAGGGTGATGCGCATAGCTGTAGATAACGAGTTCTTATGGCATTACTAGTTACATCTCCACATCAACTACTGGCATCTAACTTGGATCACATGTGACAAGCTTACTTGTGGTCTCGATTCCTCAATTGGTATGGAATGCGCACTACTACAGACTCGCGGAGTGCTCTGCTAGACCCTGCTATGCTGCCGCATTTTTCGCGTTTTCCGTTCTCGCTGAATTCCTCCTCTTTGTCTTTTGACAGCACATCCAGCGCACACTCATTCGGATCGTACTAATTTGCTCTATCCCCTGAACCATCTTGCACGGAAATATTTCCTTCGGGTCACGATTCTAGTAAATCTAGCTGTTTTAAAAACTCTCGTGCTCTAACACACGCCTACTGCCTGGTCGCCTTTCGGTTACTTGGCCCACTCTGTTACTGTGTTCGATAGTGCAATTTTTTACCGTCCACTAAGCGCTGACTCGCTAAACTATGGTATTTTCAAAGCCGCTTTGAAACAATTTGTGATCCATTGTTTACCCATCATTATCATTCAGCTTATACACATCCAGCCTCGGCTTTCTGCGCTTGCCCGCACGCCACACGCAGCGGTCGGTTAGTCGACAGTCTGTCCCAGTAGTCGCGCACGCGGATAGGCGATTAACTTCCGACTTAAGCATTGTTTTCAAACCATATAAGCTTTCCATCGCAATGAGGCTGGACCTTACCGTGGTGCGATGGTTTGCGTGCCTCAGGGATCCATTGAGCAATGCTGGATGGTGCTTTTTTTCCACCTTCAGAGCCACTCATACCAGGTTGGTCAATGGTTAGAGGCCAGACAAACTCAGCCTCCTGGTCCTCCAGGTTGGGGGTTGGAATGGGGGTGGCTCCTCATTTCATAAAACGGGCTCCGTAGTCCAGGGCCAAAACCCGCTGCCTTGCGGTAAGGTTTTTGAACCAAAGGTTTTGGTTGAGAACCCTAATCGTTCTCCTGTCTAGGCCTGGGCAGCCTGACAGTATTCTGCTCACGCAATACAATTAAACTTTCCTACAACGACTTCTTGATGCTCTGGCCGTCGCAAAGGATAATCAACGGCGCCCTATCTGCTGCATCGAGCAGGGTGGATAGGGGTATGGATGCTACTGCTCAGGCCTTCCCGTCTTCTTATACCCCTTCTTGCGCTTTTTCACTCTTACCGTCCCATTCCAACTTTACTTATATCCCCCCTGCTTTCAACCCCCCAATTATTGGCCCTCCCCCAGCTTACTTCAATAGTCGCTTGTCTTCTAATTTCAAGTCACACAATCGCATGGCCTCGCCCCAATCCAATCGACAAGTACATGTTAAACCAAGCGGACAACGTCATTTTATCCGTTTCCCTTTGGAGTCCTCGCGTCTCGCTAAGACTGGCATGCCGCAATGTGCGCACTTTACTGCAGATTGGCAAACAGGCAGCACTTGCCCGCACACTAGAGACCCTGTCGATCGCTATTTGCTGTTTATCAGAAACCCGCCTGCAAGGTTCGAGCTCCGTGCCTACCCTGAGATCCCCCACATGCGACACTGGCGGCACATTCTCATTGCGCCTGTCTGGCGATGATGTAGCTTCAAATGCCGGTCAAGCTGGCGTCGGCATTGTTTTGAGTCCCCGGGCTGAAGCTGCCCTGATTGATTGGATCCCAGTAACAGTAGGATGTGCGCCGTTAGATTAGCTGGTTCGTTCCGTGCTACGAAGTCGCGCGGGGACAAACGGTGCCTGTTTGTCATTGCGGCCTACGCCCCTACAAATCGTAGCACTGATCCGGTAAAAGATGATTTCTATCAGCAACTTCATAAGCTTCTTCGTTACAGAAGAAGCACGGATACTGTGGTGTTGGCTGGCGATTTAAACACGCAAGTCGGAAAATTATCCTCTGATGAGCTTCATCTTGGTGGCCAACATGGTGTGGGCTACCGTAGTGATAATGGAGAGCGATTGCTACAGCTGTGTGAAGATGCTCGCCTCTTTCTCGCGAGCACTAACTTTCGACACAGCACCCGCAGAAGCGTGACTTGGCGGCCACCAGCTTTGTGGCCAACCATGGACGCAACTCGATCATATCGCGATCAGTTACCGCTGGAGAGGCTGTGTCCAAAATTATCGCTGGATTTGGAGCACGAGCGACCACGCATTTGTCTGTGCCGACCTCCTGGTGCGTTTCGGTGGACGTCCGCAACGTCGATGTGAACGGATTGACACCAGCCAGATGTTCTGAATGTGTACCAAAGTGCGCTGACATCTGGGCTGAGTAAGCGCCCACTAAACACCGTTGAAGATCACTGGTCGCATATTCGTCAAACGTTACTGTTAGCAGGCATGTCTTCGTGTGGCAAAGAAAATTGCCAAACCAGACATTGGGTCTCTACACAGTCTCTGGAACTTATGGATGCTCGCCGACGTATTCCGGCTGGAAGCGAATACAATGAGGCTCACAAAAATCTCAGTGCAAAACTACGTGCTAGCCTGAAGAAGGACAGCGAAACCTGGTGGTCTCATCGTGCCTGTGAGATGGAAACAGCCGCTGCCGTTGGTAATCATCGTAAGTTATTCCGTCTGATACGGTAAACAGGCAGCAGGCGATCTGGTGTTAGCGAGACCATACGCGAAGAGAGTGGGCAGCCGATCCACAGCTTGTCAAAACGTTTGGAGCGTTGGGCTGAACACTTTGCAAGGCAATTTAACCAACCTGAGTTATCGCTTTCTTCGGGCTTTGAGTACTCGTCTCCTTGGGCCGTCTCCTCGGATCCGCCCTCACGCGCAGAAGTCGAACGTGAGATCAGGCTGTTGAAATTGCATAAGGCCGCAGGGGCAGATAGAATTCCTACAGCCCTCTTCAGATTCGGGGGACCTGCTCTAGTAGATGATCTACACGAGTTGCTAGTAAAACTTTGGGAGCAGGCGACAGTCCCGACAGACTGGAACCGCTCCGTCATTGTCCCAATTTTCAAGGGGCTCCCGTTTGAAATGAGGCAATCATAGAGGAATCAGTCTGATTTCGATTGCCTCTAAATTGCTCGCCTCTGTCATTCTCCACAGATTGACTGGCACTCGTGAAAGCCAGATTCGTGAAGAGCAAGCCGGATTTCGTCGAGGTCGAGGCTGCATCGACCACATCTTCACATTGCATCAAGTGTTGGAGCACCGCCATGTTTATTGGCGACCCACCGTTGTCGTGTTTCTTGACATAAAAGGTGCCTTCGACTCAGTCGATCGATGTGCCCTTTGGGACTGTCTGCTGAGGAAAGGTGTGCCTGATAATTATGTAAACATTATCAAAGCGTTGTACGCGCATAGTTCGGGCAGGGTGAGGGTTTATGGCAAACTCTTGCCACCCTTTAGTATCACCAGCGGTGTGAGACAAGGATGCCCGCTGTCACCTTTCCTCTTCAACTTCGCTATTGATGAAGCCATGGAAACAGCGTTCGCTGGACACGACCTAGAAGGTGTTGAGCTACTTCCTGGTAAGCGACTTCTTGACTTGGAGTATGCGGACGATATTGCCCTAATCTGTGACAGCCCCCAAACATGCCAAACAGCACTGGACCGATTAGCACTGGCTGTCAATCGTTTTGGGCTATGTTTTGCTCCATCGAAATGCAAAGTACTTTGCCAAGATTGGCAGGGACCCAACCCTGCGCTAACGCTTGGTGGTGATCTGCTAGAAGTCGTTCAGGAATTGAAGTACATGGGCAGCTATATTAGCACCCGTGGGATTGAAAATGAGGTTACGAACCGCATAGCAAAAGCTCGAGGTGCTTTTGCCAATCTCCGCCACCTGTGGCGCAGACGTGACATTACTCTCGCCCTGAAGGGCAGAGTTTATAACCCAGCCGTCCGTTCAACCCTCCTATACGACTGTGAAACCTGGCCCATCAGGTCGACAGACATAAAGAGACTCGTCATATTCGATCATCGCTGCCTTCGCAGCTTAGCTCATGTCTGGTGGGAGCACCGCGTGAGCAATGAGCGTGTTCGTCGTCGCGTATTTGGTGCAGGAAGAGCGAGTGAACCGCTCAGCACCATTATATCACCCACCAGGCTCCGATGGCTGGGCCACGTGTTGCGCATGCCAGCACACCGACTCCCGCGACGTGCATTGTTTGCGCGTTGTGGGTGCGGTTGGAAGAGGAGGAGGGGAGGCCAAGCGATGACTTGGTCGAGAGAAATGAAAACCCTCACTTCGAAGTTGGCGTCGGTTGGTGCATCCCGACTGCCTGGTTGGGGTCCTAAGGACGGTGAACACGTTTGGTTGGACACACTTGCTGATATGGCTCGGAGCCGGCATCAATGGCGTTTGTGTTGTGATTTCCTTTGTCCATCCCCCTCCTGTTTAGCATCCCCCTCCAATCACGATCTTACTTGTTAGGCATAATACGAGTTTCTTTTACGGCAGCCAGCTGTTAGCTCTCCGGAACGATGTCCATCCGTTACTGGAGACTCAGCGGGCGTGCCACTGTTTGTTTTCCTTTTCTTGTCTTTTGTATTGCGGCACAATAGCTGAGGTGTTTTCCACCTCCAGCTAACGTGTAATGATG